ATACGTTCAACATGGCACATTCATGAAATAATTTCCGCCTCTTTGACCGGAATATTAGTAGCCAGATATTCAATGGCGTATATGCTCATAACTTTAATACGCATTTCATTCAATACGCGTATACGCGTATACGCGAGAATAATAAAATTCACCCATACCAAGTTAGATCGGCGGCTTAATTAAGCTTGACATAAACTTAACTGGACGAAACATCGTCGAGTATACTAAATATAATTTCCGGGGAATTGATCACATTACACAGACTTGTTTAATTTTCCATTTGTGTGCAAAATGTACAAGCTCGGTCACGAGTCCAAATGTAACCGATGCCATTTCATAATGGCTTTTATATATCGCTCGTTTTAGTCTGACTTTAATTGCCTGCCTCATCAATTCACTCTTTACTCTGTTATACGCCCACGAGATAAGACATCTCTGCGCGGTAATTTGATAACTTCGGAAAGACGAACCGGTATTGATATTAGTTATAGAGTAGCTTTTAGACAGGAACGTCCGGCCTTATTTTCGCTCGATTATTACTTTTCACGACGGAATTAACGTTCCAACGAAAAGGGATGAAACGCCGAAAGAATAAAAATTATTTTGCAAAGAGATAGAGTACAAATTTCCTCCTTTTGTGACGCGTGGATGATTACCAAGATTCTAAGTGTAGCTATGCAGGTGAGCGCGCCAAGGACGTTTTACGCTTTTCCGTATTCCCTTGATTCCATTGCTCTCGTCTCCTCTTTTTTTTCCGTCGTTTCTTTATTCCCGACCCCAACTAGATTTTTTTTTCTTTTTTTTTCTTTTTTATTTCTCTTTCCATGTCGGCAGCGCGCTTTCAAAGAAATATCAATTTGTTGAATTATTACGCTCAAAAGCGACGACCTCGCTGTCTTTCAGATTTTATGAACGCACATTCGCAAAATGTATCTCCGTGTGTAATCAATTTCGAGATATATATATTCCGAATTAACTGTTCAAATATTTTATATAATTAAAAGCTAATGTTATAAGTGTTCATGTTTACGGAATCGTTATTTTATGCATATGTGCCCTAGAGTGAACGTGTTCTAATTCCTCACGCTATATAATAATATAATAATTGCAGAATGTAATATATTTACGTACGCTATACGTTCCACACGCACATATATAATGCATGAAGCAAGATTACCTTTTTCATGAAATTGTAGGAAAAAAAAAAAAATATGCAATACCAAATAAGATGAGTGTGACAACAATGGAAAGCTATAGATAACGACTGTTAGATCGAGTTGAAATCAATAAAAGCGCATAAAAATTTGCCGCACTGCTCGATCACTCTATTAGTTTTGACGTTATCGTAACGCGATCGATCTTGTCGAGGAGTTCTCAGCGGCGTTTTTTTAACTCCGCGAATTAACAGCGGTACCGATTATACGATCCATTTACGTCCCGTTTTCACGTCGACAAAAGCGGCGGGGTTGTTTCCGGGGGTGCGACCCATTTTCCTACTCTTCCTTCTTCGGAGGTACGGCGGCGTTGTGACTTCGGAATATTATCATTGGACTATACCATCGCTTCCATTATCTACCGAGCTACAACTACTCGAAGCTGGCCGTACCATTAAACTACGGAGGTCAATTTGTCCCCGTGCGCCACTCGACCTTGTATTACGTTCGGCTTACAGTTGGAGAATAACGCCGTCCGGAATCTAATCTCTTCGTTCACGCGTGTGATTACGCTAAATTGTATTAACCTTTCATTAACACGACAAAGTGTGATGACTTTAAAACATTTTACTTAAAAGATATGATTATTTAACGACTTGCAGTAATAAAATGTTAGATTGAAGTCCATTAGAATCGCCAGAATGGTGCTATTTGGTTTCGCTAATTATTACAATTTTTTTCCTTTTTGCATTAGACGTTTATACAGTACAGAATATTGAAAATGTGTGACTATAAATATAAATATATAATTTTAACGATACAAATAATATCAATATAACTTTTCACTAATCGAAAACAAAGATAGGAAATTACCAAATTGGCAGTTTCAACGGGTGAACATACCACTGGTGGTAGTGGCTAGTTTTTAATTTATATTAGCTTCGCGAAGTAAATATTTATTAATGAAATCTATAAACAAATTTTGGTAAAAATACATATCAGTGTATGAAAAATGATATTTTATTAAGATTAAAACGCTTCAATGTGAAGGAGGCAAATCTGAGAAAAATCTGTTTCCTACGATTGCTCCATCTCTAATCACTTTTATTTATAATAGCATCGCTCTTAACGTCGTTTACAACGACGTTTGATCTTTATTAATTTTATAGAATAATGCACGTTACACGTGAACGTGCCGCAGTCTCGGGAGGATGAGAAAAGGATAAAAGGCTCGTGGGAAAGAGGTGGAAAACGACCTAACTCGTTCCTCTCTGTGGTCCGTTTTAATTTTCCGCGCTTTGCCTCTGAACCGTTCAACTCTTTACAACCTGCTCCACTGTCTACCCACTTTCTTGTCCTCTTCCCCATTTCCGCAGCGATCAAAGGGCCACGATTCCCGTATCTATGAAGAAATCGACCGCGCATCGATACGTTCGATATCTCAACCGACGATGGTTTCGCGCGAGAGTTGCAGAAACGAAGCGTCAGAAACACGCTTGTTACTCAACGCTACATCAATTTACGTGCCGATAATTTCATCAAATAAGAAGAAGGCGGCAAGTAAAATACGTTCGAACGTTCATTTTACAGTTATGCAATGACCAAGGTATATTAAGTACTAATAAGTGGGTAGCAATTTAACGCGTTCGTGAGAATTGTATAATTTGTATTGTAACACGCTTGCATGGATTTAATGTGCATCGCGATCATTAATCTTGAATTGGACGTAACGCACGTGGTTGAATTCAATCTACTCGGATCTGTATTATTTATATGATAGGTCAATTTGATTTCATTTTTACATTCGCATGACGATTCTACGTACAAGAAAAAGTATTGAGAAAAACTAAAGGTCTCTATTATTTCCTATTAATTTTCATAAATTGCATAATTACGTAATACATCAAGCACTAAATGCTAATAAATATTCGTGCTTATTATATTGTCTATATATATTCAAAATTAATACTTTACATTTAATATCGTTTCAACTAATATAATTATTCCAACTAATATAATTAATTTTAACTAATTTTAATATAATTCATTAATTACGAGATAATTTATTTTAAAAAATTTTGCTCCGCCATGAAATATTTATTCAATCGTGTCATTTAACTGACGTAAAGTTAAATTACTAATAAGTATAAATGTGTTATAAAAAATTACAATAAAATCTCCGCGTTAATAAAAATAAATACAATTAATAATTATTGCGTTTTTGGTTAAATCAATTAGTTGGAACACGATATGTAACTGTAATATTTTCAATTCTTGTTTTATTTATACTTGATATGTCCATGTTCAAAATTTTTCTAAATATTACGGTTATAAAAAATGAACCGACGTGTATCATTTTTAATCCTGAAAAGAGGATATTTGATATTGAAAAGTCAAAATCGCAAACCTTGCATAAATATGTATATTGAAATAGGGATTGAAAAAAAGGAAATAAAATATTTTAAATATTGACTTTCTTTAAATCGACTTTTGTAAATATGAATGCATTTCCATTTCATAATACAAATACTCAAAAATTCAATCAACTTAAACTTGAAAATTCAATCAACTATAAATATGCTTGATATTAAAATTATTCAAATAATATTATTAATAAACTATGTTTTATCTCACAATATCCTTAATCCCATCTTATAAATTGTTCTAAAAAATGTACTTTTGTACAGCAAGTAATTTTCTTATTTAAAAAATGTAGATCTTAATATTTTTATTAAATTTGAAAATAATATCCCTTTTGTAAAATTTACAATAATACTGTTTATCAATTTTTATCAATTAGCTACTCGTGAAATTTTCTCTATCATTTTATTATTTGTTTGCGAGATTGCCTACAAATTGCAAATATCTGATTATTCTGCTATATAAGGAGATACCGAAGTGTCAATAAATAATTCATCAGTATAACGAGTTCTGTTCCATAAGCTTCGTACGCGTGCAAGTGCATTCTCGTACGCACAATAAATCGAGGTGAATAATTACAGGAATACTTAATACTTCAGAATTAAATATAGATCGTAATCTATAGATTGTAATCCATCCATTTTGAGCTAATAAATCTAGGAGATAAAATATTCTATATCTATACATATCTTCGCAACTTAATATGCATACGTTTACATAGGAATTACATAGGAATTACGCATATTTTACACGTAATTCCTATTTTCACAGATCTATTACCTCGATTTAAAGTGAAAACTAATTTGTCACTCACACCGATACGATGAGCAACAGCGGCAATTGTAAATTACGTTGCAAACTATGCGTTCAATTGTAACACAAAGATAACATACAAATTAATAACAATGATTAAGTAACTAATATTTAAAAAGTAATTATTGAATGTGTAGATGAAATCTCTTTGTTTTTTCAAATAACTATTTACTAAAATAACTGTAATTTTTTTAAATATGATTTTAGCATACGTTTGCAAATTTCAAAAGATAAAAGATAAAAGATCCTTTATCCTTTAATTCTTATTTTAAATATTAAAAATATACACGATCTAAATAAATGGTGATAAATGATTGGTATCACACCAGCTAAATAATACATAAAATAAATTATTCATATTTGATTGCTTCGTCGACACCTGACGCCTCTCAGGTTTCGCCATCCTCTTAGATCCTTTTATTGCGCATCACATACTCGCGAAATATTATCAAATTAAGGACCGCGTATTAGTTACACAGCAAAATAAGTCTCCGGATATTAATCGTATATCGTATTTCACAACGAAAGAACAGGATATAAAAAGAGAAATTGCATAAAGCTACAGTGTTCATTCGACATTTATGATACATTTATGATGATTGTTATGTTCAGATTCCCACCCAGAGTGACACCCAGGTCATCATCCTTGTTATTTACCGAACGTTAAACAAGGATGACACGACACTCGGAGAACACCCGGGTGGGAATCCGAACACGCCTTTGGAAATTAACGCAATGTACGAATCTCAAGGTGAAAGCAATCAGAAAGTGGCACAACCAACCTCACCTGCGGCGACGCTGCACCTGTCGCTAAAAAAGCTTATATGCTCTCGCGATTGTTGAAGTGATTACTATTTCGTGCTGCGAGTTAAGTGAATAAATGTAAAAATGTAAAATTGAAGATAAAGCACCAAGTGAATCGATTGATTGTTGAGAATGCGTCTTACACTACCGATGTACAAACGCTGAATTTATATTGGATAAATGTTACATTACGAGAATAATTACGACTATAGTCGATTCGGAGTTAATTCACATTTCAAATTTATTAACCGCTACTGTATATTAACTGCTACTGTTAAGTTTGCAGCAAGTTGTCGCAGGGATCACGTTCTTCTCCGAGTATTTGTCGTTACAACGCGACATCTCGAAAGGTAATAAGTGTAATAACATTACGGTGCTAGCTGCTGGCTCGAATCTTGCGGCGCGAACGTAAATACAAGCTTGAAATACAATTACACGCCATACGCTGCCGAGCGGTTCTGTAACGGATTACCAAAATATTTAATATATTTACCGAGTAAATTATGAACGTTGATCGATCGGGCGGACTGTGGTTATAGATTATTCGTAACGAACGATTGTGTTGGAACGATCGAGAGGTAACGTAACGATTCGCGGAAGAATTCGCGCTGCTCATTCAATTCTTGTAATTTGAACGCAAGATGAAAATTTATACCTTAAAATGTACGTATTCGACAATAGCATAAATTTTTATAATAAAACGAGCGTCGAAATTGATTATGAGATCCACGTGCTAATGAATTTATAATGTCATCACCTCGAAATACGTGTTGCGCTACATTGTTGGGAAAAATTGTTTTGCTGAAGTATTTAAATTTAGTTAGATAAAGATCTAAAAATAATTGTGTTGGTTACTATCCAGGGACTATCAAAATAATTATGTAAGCTGAAATTGATTACTAAAACGTTAAAACTTTTTGCAACATTACCCATCATGCTTGAATTTTCTACGTAATTATTTTAATGGTACAACAAAATTATTTTCAAACCTGTATTTACCTAAATTTGTAAATATAAAATCGTTTTTTTTTTGTATGAAATAAATTATTGACAATTTATTTAGTCGCGTGGGTTGGTACTGACATTTATAACAAAATTTATAACAAAAGATCACACATTTAGAGTTGATTATTTTGAACTTATTAATTGAGTATATCTACTAACAATTGTTAAATTCATAGCGAACGTTTGTAAGGAAAGATCGCGTTCTTCGCGAAGTACTTGTCGCTACAGCAATTTAGGGACAATAAACATTATAATCTCATCGCTGTCTCTTGGCTCAAGTTTAGCCGCGCAAAGGTAAACAACTATCCGTGAAACACAACGTCGCCATACGTCGCTGAGCACTTTGACAGCTGTTATAATATTTAACGTATTTACAAAATAAATCGTGAATACATCAATTGCATAAGTCGATTATACACGGAGAGAATTTTTTTTAGAATTTACCCTGAAAATATGATAGTCGTCGGGACAACATTATATTTCGAAGAATTTTAATGTAAATCTCTCTCATGAATAAAACTGCAATAAAGTATAAAATAAGTTTGATTAATTTTACTGAAGTACATCAACAGTAAAAATCTTTAAAGTATTTTGTATTGTACTACAATTACCATATTTTCAGGGTAAATTTTAAAAGAAAATCCTCTCCGTGTAGATATTTATTCGTAAAAGACGATCGCATTTCGCGAGAAATAATGCGGTGATTTATGGGACAGTTTGTATCGCTTTGCTCAAGTATTATTGTTTGAATGTAAAAATATAAAAAATTTACATGTAATATTCCTAATTTATATTATATTTTATAACGAACCTCAAATGACGAGATTACAGTGTGAAATTTATAATGTCAAATTGTAATTTGAATTATTTTCAATCATTTCTGTAAGTCGCCATTGCTCCTCTATTTAATATGTTTTCCATTCACTTAAAACAATAGAGTTAAATAATTTAATTCAAGAGAAAATATATGAAATTTGACTCCAATTTAGTTTATTTTTTACTAAATGCAATACGTTAATATGTACATCACTTACTTTGAAACTAACCACAAAAATGAATTGAATTACATTTTTCACACATGGAAATTAAAAATAACGAAACGTTATTTAATTCCAACGATTGGGTTATTACATTGCTCCATTTATATCTAACCAGTGGAGTGAATTTATTCCGTCGCTTTGAAATATTTAACGCGTTTTGAAATAAATCGTGACAATTGTCTAATAGCGAGATGGTACTGACAAATTATTCGTAACGAAAGATCGTGCATTTAGTGTTTCGCTGTACCTGCCACTACCACGTCTCGTAGGATAATGAAACAACAGTACACGAAGCGGCTCGCGTCTCCGCTCAAATCTCGCGCTTAACCGTAAACAAGGTGATTCAGTCTATGCAACGGTAAGCCTGTATACCGCACGAGCAAACACGAATTATTGCTCAGCTCGCGATTGTTCCCAAAATAATTGTCGATTGTCAGTATTTGAGATTGATTGACTCTCGCAATTACATCCCAAGTTTTGTAATCGAAGCTCTTTCGAAGTAGATACTTAATTTCTCTAAACTGGCATTGTACGGATACGGGAATCATAAATTTCGTTGTGACATTTACAGGCAATTATTACTTCTTCGACGATATATCTCGTTCGGATATATCTCGCTTCGCGTGTTGAATTTTCCGCTTAATTAAACGTAATTTGCCGCATCATTGTCAGATCGAGCAGGGAGTAATTCACGAATCATTGAATTATACGATTCAAGTTACAGAAAGCCTTGATAATTAACAATTATTCGTTTATTAATAATAGCTATGTTTCTCGCGAGATTTATGTGTTCCGTATTTATTACGTGTGCAATACTGAATTTCAATTGTATATTTTCGGATGATCCATCGAGCGTAATAAAATATCACGCGTGATTAATTTCGGGAATGTCGTGGAAAGATCCATACGATTGTATCGTATTCTATAATGATTCATGCACAATCGTAATTAACGGTATTTTCGTAAGCGAGTGCGGCAATAAAATCTGAGAGGGAAAGAAAGCCTAAAAAGTATCAGGCAATAATGGAATAAAAAATTATTCACTTTTTTATATGTTATTATCAACTCTTTTCCTCCCCCTCGAATATTAGTATTTATTGAAATTACTTTTAATACATTTTAAATAAAAATAGAAATCAATTTTTATTTATTTGTCAAATCCTATAAAAAAGTTTTGAGATAAATTTGTTAAACAAAAAAATATATCGATACTGTTATTGTATTAAATATTTCCTACTTTAAAAAAAAAAACGGGTAGAGAATTCAATCCGCGTAAAATTATTCTTGAAATGTTATTATTTTACATGCTATAATATTTTTTATGTACATACATATATATATCATGAATTTATTAAATGTAATAAATTTAAACATCACACACGGCTCTCGTTATTCGATGCTCGTTTTTCGCGATGTACAGTATTCGCTGCATTTTTTATTTGTAGTTACAACTATTTCACTTGCACGACAAGATTCAGCAGAAAAATAGCGGTACGAAAATACTCCGCAATCAGCGGACTATTTCTCGAAAAGCGATCATTCCTTACGAATGAATAATTAGTACCAGTTTGTGCGATCAATTAACATTCGCGACTTACTCGGTAATACGTTAAATATATTCGTAATAGCTGTTACAGAGCGCTCGACAGTTTACGGTGCATCGTTGTTTTGCTTTGTTTACGTTCGCGCGAGGCGTGATTCCAGTCGTGCAGCAGGCAATGGCAATAGCGGAATCTTGTTTTCTCTCAAGACGTAGTCGCGACAAGTACTCGCAGAGACGTCGAACGGTCTTTTCGCAAAATAATTTCTGAGTATCATTCTGTATGATTATATATCTTGCGACTGGTGTTCGCGTTATTCAACTATCGTTTTTCGTAATCAATCAATTTCATGCTATTCCGTGTAAAATTATATGCAGAAGAATAGGTAGCGCGTTCTTTGATCTTTGCATCTCTGCATGTTCCGTTATACACTGAGAAAAAGATACTTAAAAATTTATTTGTGAGAAATATATATTAATTATTTCATTGGAATAAATCGTTGTATTGAAATACGGCGAAATAAAATTTTATTTCTAGCCATCTATTTCGTTTTTGTTTTTTTTTTTTTTACAATTAATGAGATATGTTTCACAGAAATGTATATTCTGTTATCACAATCAAATTGTTTCATAAGTAATAAATATCGAAGGAAACGTAATAAGTAGCATTTGCTTTGCAAAGACTTCGATATTTTTCTTTCAGTATAGAAAGAATTGAGTCATACAAAATTCTATTTGTGAATTGAGCATATCAGTTCCTCCTTTCGACTCTATCAGCATCTATTTTCAACTCGATACTTTAGAAAGAGAGAGATTTATTTCAAATTACCTTACCCTTCGGCGTTTCTTATACATTAATATTGTAAGACGAGTATTTTTGGGAATCAATCGATTTAATTCACGCGCAAGTTCATCTTTAATCTTTTATCTCCTACATTCACTTAGCTCGCAATCACGGTTGTCACCTCTTCGATTTTTCGCCGGATAGTCCGGCTCTTTTATTAAATTTCCGGCTCTCCGGCGCGTAAAAAAAATCTCCGGTAGCTAAGCGCTCAAAATTTTTTAAGTATGTGCGTTGATTTTTCTTGAAAAGATATCTTCAACAAGAAGGTTCAATTTATCATGACTTTCTTTTTTTTTTAGAGACCGCAAATTTTGCACTGCAAAACAGTACAAAATTTGATAATAGCAATCTCTAGCAAGATTGTGGCAATCTCTATATCTGACCTGGTCTTTTTTTTAAAGAGAGCACTTCGAGATAGTTTCAGTTTCGGCAATTTCGGCAATTCTGGCAATTTCGGTAGTTATCGATCTTCGGCTGCATGGTGGTCAATCTTCGACGGAATACTAGGCGAAAGGTAGTAGCCGTGCTCGCAATACGGGATAATAATTGCATTGTAAATTGCGAGAGTGCATTGTTTTTTTAACAATAACAGTGTAGCGTCGTTAAATGA